CCTCCTTTCCTTCCTCCCCTTCCTCCCCTTCTCCCCTTCCTCCCCTTCCTCCCCTTCCTCCCCTTCCTCCCCTTAATCTTCCTCCCTTTCCTCCTCTTCCTGCTCCTTATTCTGTTCAATTTCCCTAACGATGACCTCCTCCTCCTCTACCTTGTGGCATATTGGGCGCTCGGTGGCTTCATGCAGCGATGATTCTTGGGGGATCGATTGTGAGCTTTCTTTATAACAAGCGAGTGCGCCATCCGCTCCACAAGGACAGGTCTGTTATAGATTACGATGTGGCTGTGCTGCTTCAGCCCATGCTTCTGTTGGGGATTAGCATTGGGGTGTTATGCAACATCATTTTTCCATCTTGGCTGGTCGTTCTGCTGCTCACTATCTTGCTGACATGTAAGTGTCCTCTGTCCATGAATGCAATCTTTGTTTTCATTTTTGCCCCAAATTCTTATCAGAACCAGCTCTTGTCTTTGACTGGTCATCTTCCTGGTCTCTCTCTTCCATGCCGCCATGCCAGGGAAAAAAGGAGAAAAACTTGCTTTTCTATTGAATGCAAAATACTTGAGGCCATCGCGTTTTTTTTTGTTTTTTTTTTAAATTCGTATACAGGAAACCCACTTAACGAGGTGATAAAAGCATCCCCGATAAGTAGGCACCCGGCGTGGAAGGCTCCATCTATTGGTGGGGAGCTACACCTGCTGGAAATCGGGTCCAGCGTCCTGTACAATGATGTGATATGTGTCAGCTGGAAATCGGGTCCAGCGTCCCTATACAGAGTTGTGAAGCTATGTCCTACCGTCCAAAACTATCTGTATATGCTCATCAATCCAAATATGACATCGAACCTAATCCTAGCAGTCAGACCAAGCACCGAACCCTACCCCTGATGTGGTCTGTGTGCATGATATGTGCGTCCCTGTACAATGATGTAATGTGTGTCAGCTGGAAATCGGGTCCAGCGTCCCTATACGGTGATATGCAGCTATGATTCTTCCGTCCAGAACTATCTGTATATGCTCATCAATCCATATATGACCTCGAACCTAATCCTAACAATCAGACCAAATACCAAACCCTACCCCTGATGTGGTCTGTATGCATGATGTGTGCATAATGTGCATGATATGCTAGAAATCGGGTCCAGCTGCCCTGTACAATGATGCAGTGTGTGTCAGCCGGAAATCAGGTCCAGTGTCCCTATACAGTGTCATGTAGCTCAGCTCTGCATTCCGGTACATTCAGAAAATGCTCGTCAATCCATATACGTCACAAGAGGGGAGGACCCTATACCCTAATCAGCCGTATCTCCCCAGCAAACGAAGGCAGCGAGCCTCCCCCTAGCAGTCAAACCAATCACCAAACCCTGCCCCTGATGTGGTCTATATTCTTGATGTCACAGTGCAGAATATTACCGTGCCTCACGAACGATCCATTCTGCAGTCAATCATGGCGCAGCCTATATCTCCTGAGAAGGGCAGAGGCATTGATTGCTTCTCTACGCAAGAGAAGGATTGACCTCCTGCCCATGAGGCAGCATCCAACCAAAAGACTATGTAGAAGTGCAGAATCAAGGTATCAACCAACCTTCAAACCCTAATCACCGTAACTCCACATGGGGTGAAGCACCCCTTCATGCACAAGAATTGATGAACCCTAATTCTGGCGTGGAACGTCAGCTATCCCACACCAACCCGATCAAAACAACACAAATCATGCAAAAAAAACGGGTAAGGGGGAGGGGGAATAGTAATAACTCTCGCCTTCACTCCCTCACCCCACCTCACCATCCCAAACAATCCGCCAATCCTCCCCCACAGCAATGATGTGGGCATTGTACTTATCTTCACAGCTATCGTTGTGGCGGCCCTTGTCTCTGCCCTCTTGTTGTGGTTTTAGCTGTCGCTGTTGTTGTCGTTGTTGTTGTTGTTGTTGTTGTTGTTGTTGTTACCATTGCGCATGTTCTTGGTGTTGTTATTGTTGTTGTTGTTGTTGAACCAATTGTTATTGTCATCGTTACTGTGGTCACTTCAGATGCTTCTGTTTCTTCGGTTGTCATCATCACAGCAGCTGCACTTGCCATCATCCCGAGTTCCACGTCCCTCTCACCTACCTCGCCTACCTCATCAAGCTGATGAGGATGAGAGTCTTCGTCAGCGTCGGTCGCCACGTCCCTCTCACCTGCCTCGCCTGCCTCATCAAGCTGATGAGCGTGAGAGTCTTCGTCAACGTCGAACGCTGGTATTATTGGTATTGTTTTTGCCGTTGTTGTTGTTATTGTTGCTGTCGTCGTTGTAGCTGTACCTGTTGTTGCTGTTGTTTTCCCCGCTGCCGCTGCCATTGGCATTTGCTTCAACTCCACCACCCACTCTCCTACCTCCCACACTCCTACCTGGTGTCCGATACCCTGAAGCGGATGAGAGTCGACGTCAGCACCAGCACTCTCATCATCAATCATCAGGTCTCCCCACCACCCACTGGCATCAGCACTCTCATCATCACCCCTCAGGTCTCCCCACCACCAGCTGGCCTCCTCCTTATGCTCATCTCTGTTCCACAGTGGCACGACAGTTTCCCGGCTCCTCTCCAATTCGATTTCCCCATCCATGCAGACTGCGCAGGTATTTGCGTAGTAATTGACCACGTCCTCCTCATCTTGCTCACCATCCTCTCCATGCCAGATGTCGTCATCAGTGTCAAAAGGTGTATCTCCATGTTGTAGTTCTCCCACCAACTCCATCGCTAACCCTCCTTAGGAGTAGGGTCCCAGTGGCGATGCAGCCATAGCTGCATCTTCGTAGAGGAAATCATCGTCTAGACTTCATCTTCATCAGGGACTGTTGGCGCAGAGCTTCTTCTTCATCATCTGGGTGGCGGTTGGCTCTGGGAGCCTGTTTCATACTAGCGTCGGCCACTGAGTTGGATGTCAGGGTGGCGCTGGGTGTTACCTGGGGTCCTGGTGTTGTTTTTAGCTTTTTAGAGTGTGTGGAGTTGAGGCGCTGCCCTTCTGAGGGTAGTGCAACAGGGTTCTAAGGCTATTCAGTAAAAACGATGCTCTGAGTCTAATAAACAGCTGTAATACTGTGTTTGAGTTGTCATCTCTTCATTGATTTCTGACTGTGATCTCTCGGTTGTCTTCTATGAATGATTGTTGGGAATTCTGGGGAGGCTGAGTGCTCTTCTGCCTATCACACCTTGTTTCTGCGTGTCTTATTTATTTGACTGTGTGGGTGTAAATAACGATGGCTGATGCTAAGACGAAGGTTGAAGAAGGGGAACCTTCTGCTCACCCTCTCCCACTTCCTCTCTCCCCCTTGGAACAGGCCCTGCTGGAAGCAGAGGAAAACCGCAGAAAGGTCGAGCCCCATGTCCAGCGGTTGAAAAAGGAGATGAAGGAAGCTGAAGAGGCTAGCAGGAAGGAGGAGAGGAGGAGACAGTTACATAAAGAGGTGGAGAAATTTGTTGTTAGTGGCACTTCCAGTCAGTGTAGTAAGGATACTGCTGAGTTGGTGCTGTAAACATACATTGTCAACAGGTCTTACTTTTCTAACTGGGACCAACGGATTCTCACTGTAGAGAATCAATGCTCTTAAAAGGGCCTTTACCCGATATAGGCCTCAGGCCTTGTAAAAATAAAGCAGCCCGGGCCTTGAAAAAGTAAAGCATTGTGAAAAGGTATCTCGCCAGAGCTCAGAAACGTGAAAGCAGGTCAAAGGTCAAGTTCTCTGTCAACAGGCATATCTAAAGCTAAGGCAAAGGGCATTGTCAAAAGACTTACCTGTTCACCAGGAGATGTGTATGTCATGTCTGTTTGGGTAAGAGTGTGTCTGTACGTGCAGGCAGTGTACCTGTTCGTGCAAAGTAAAGTGTCTATTCAAGCAGTAAATGTGTCTGTTCGTTKAGAGTTGTGCCTGTCCGAAAATAAAGTCAATAGGCACAGTCCCAGTTCTGGTCTAAGTCTAGGGGTCAGTCCAGATCCAGTTCTGGGACAAAAGGAAGGCTGGTTTGAGCCAATGCAGACCCAGCAAGGAGTATAAAAGAGGCAGCCAGCCTCATTCCTTGCCAGATCTCCATTGGCATTCTATGCGTGGAAGTGCTGGTGCACTTGTGCGTTGAGCCAGTAGGAGCAGCGCTGGAAGGAGAAGATGCGCTGAGTGAAGGGAGAAGCCTGTATGCTGGAAGTGATGCAGCCATAGCTGCCCAGCAAGTTAGCATTAGTAGTAGTGCGTTAGTATGTAGCTATGAGTAGTATCCAGAGTAGATCCTCATGAGTGAAGAGTGTGTATGCATCGTAGGAGGAAGGGACTGAGGCTGAAAGTGTTCATTCAAGGTTCGGCTATGGAAGATACTTACCTGGGTTAGACTTGACCTGCAGAGGTGGCGCTGAAGAAGTAGTGACCACATTGACGACTTGGAGATTGTCTGCAGATGTAGCGCTGATACATTGGAAGCCATATTGATGAGTTGATAAGAGATTGGTGTTGGGCTGATGAGCGCTGGACTCAGGGGAACTTTGAAACACTTTGTATTCATATTTCTGATAATATAAGTTGTGAAACTCGGTCCTCTTCTTCTCTACCTTTGTCTATGGTTGATACTATTGATCACTGCG